TTGTTTAAGTATAACGCGTTACTTTTTGTTCATAAATAATGGTATTATGTTCTAGTACAAAGTTAATTATGTTAATTAATGACAAAAATAGACTGAGCATAAACAAAAAACACAAGAAATTCATAAATATCATTGAGGAAATTGGCTATTGGAAAATTGAATCCAAATTACAATTGTAATGCCACCCATTCTAATTATCTGCTCGATATGCATGCCAATACATCTATGGCATGTTTACATACGCGTAATCAGAATTAGCATAAATCGGAGTAGGCAAGATTAGTGAGGAATCGGAGTCAGAATAAGCGGTTTACTTAGTGATAGGATTCAGAATCAGAGTCATTTCCAAATCTTATTCATACGTTTACTTACACCCAGAATCAGAATAAAAAGTGTAAAAGTATTAATATACCCTTTAAATCAATTTGATATTTTCAATCTAAAGAATATATTGTGTACTTATTATATTAAAATTAATCATAATTAAAATATTTAGTGTAATAATTGAGTACTAAAATAATAAATATATGTTGCATTTATTATTTTTTGAATTTTATTTTTAATTGTGTATTCATAAGTAAAATAAGGGTATAATAGTAAATTGATATTCATATTAGGAATGGGAGTCTCAATCCCAAGGGGGGCATGGGAATGCCAATCTCATTCCTCAATCCCAAATTTGAGTGGGATCCACCAATCTCACTCCCATTTCAGGATAAAAAAGAGCAAGTAAACGTGAAATTGACTCTCATTTTCCACTCCCATTCTTCAATCCTGGTAAGTAAACATGCCACTAGTTGCACAACTAATTATGCGTTACATTTATTTATTTATTTATTTATTAAATTCTAATTGTTGATTCAATATACATGCCAATGCATTAACTAATTGTACGTTACAGTTATTTATTTATATAGTTGTAATTTAGAATCAATTCACGAAAAATACAATATAATAGATGGTCAATTTTTTAAATGTTATCTCTTAATTTTCTTGTATTTTTTCCGTTTATGATTAATCATTTTTTGTAATTAATTAACATAATTAAATTGACGCTAGAGCATATTAACATTATTTATGGGCAAAAATAACAAGTTATATTAAATCGTGAAAAAACTATTCGGGATCTGTATGCTAAAAAATATATTTTTGGGGACATAAGGTATAAAAATGCCTTAAAATATCCCACATCTGATGAGATTTAACAGAAAAAGTGAAAGTGGGGACTAACGTACAAACAGAATAAACGTTTGGGAATTTGAGTGTCTAAATTCTTTAAATAAGACCTAAATACATTCTAATTGGACAACTAATTGTGTGTTACAGTTGTTTCTTTATTACATTCTAATTGTCTGCTCGATATATATGCCAGTACATTTAGTTGGACAACTAATTGTGCTTTACAATTATTTATTTATATAGTTACAGTTTAGAAACAACAAAAATACAATAGAATAAATGGTCAATTTTTTAAATGACGTCTATTAATTTCCTTGTATTTTTCTATTTATGATTAATCATTTTTTGTAATTGATTAACATAATCTAAATTGATGCTAGAGCATACTAACAATATTTATGGACAAGAAACAACAAGTTATACTTAAATCAAGAAGAAAATTTTCGGGGATCTTTCTGTCAAAAATGCCTTAAAATATCCTATATCTTATGAGATTTAATGGATAAAATGAAATTGGGTACTAAAAGTGCATACAAAATAAGAATTTGAGAACTTGAGTGTTTAAATTCTTTAAATATGACCCAAATGTCAAAAATTACGATGTTTGGTGACCTCTAACACATGGTCACTTGCTAGTTACATGCAAGAAAACCATAAATAAATTTAACTTCATTTTCGATTGGATCTATCATGTAACTATCTTAAGTTGGAGAAGTCAATTACTAAAATTTTTAGTTCAAGAACTTATTTGCTAAAGGTGAGAAGTTAAGGGGGCATTCATGTAAATAAACCATTTTTAAATACGCAAGGAATATTCTTAGTACGGAATGTCCTTTTTAACTACTGATATAATTAGTGGACGTTTTGTTCATGAATTCAAAATCATAATTTAAAATTATTTTTGATTTAAATGTATTTTTTATGAGAAAAAATACTGTAATGAATCACGAATCATGATTTAAATCATTATATTAAGTTTTTAAGGGTTAGATTCTTTTGAGTATTCACGTTAAATATTTAGAGCGTGTAACGTAAAATTTAAAAACTCTTAACAGTTAAAATAAAATTCCTACACATGATGAAAACATGCATTGTATTTATTTATTCCTTTGTAGTTATTCCATTATTATATTAGTCGTGTAAGAGTGAGAGGATATCCCACTCACGCGTGGGGCTTTGGAGGTGGGAAAACTGGGGGGAGATTGGGACTTTGGAGCAGTGTGGGGCCTGTCTTGAAGATCCCAGCAAAGGAGAGTTGTTGGGTATTCACTGTTCATTCAGATTTGTATTTGTTGGACATCACTCTCATTTTGATATTTCTCACCCAATTATTGCCTCTTTGTTTTTTGCATGTCCTTTTTAAAATGAGTTTTTCATGATAAGGTTTACTTTTATAATTTTTTTAGATGGGATTAAAATCATATTAAGGTAAAAAAAATAAATTTAATATAATTTAATATAAATTTGATGGTTAAAAAATAGTAACTGGATATATATATATATATATATATATTTTTTTTTTTTTTTTTCTTATCGTGTTGTAGAATTGTCTTCTTTTCTTTTAGAAAAAGAAATATTTTTTTTCTTGACAATATATTGGTGGTCCGATAAGTTGGCTGATTGGCCTACACAATCTCACACATATTTCACCTCCATGTTTTCCATGCTTCAAATTCAATGTTGGTTTCAAGTTTTATCGAGTAATACTACACTACTACAGGTGTAAAATTTTTCCATCAATATATGTTTTTTTTTAATATTATATTAGTAGGATATTTCTCAACCATATATTTTAAAAAAAAAAAAAATTCTCTGATGAAAAGTTCTGTTACCATTGCACAATGCTTTTCAACGGTTAAACTTTTTTAAAATATCCAAATTTGAAAGTCTTGATTTTGGAATAATTTTGAATAAGATAAATAATTTTCACATGATTAGTATTTCAGAAAGAACTTTCTCTATTGGTGTACATTCAACACTAAAGAAATCCTTTTTGAAAAAATAATTGTTTGTTTGCACCTAAATTTAAAAAAAAGTTTGAACTCAAGTTACAACTTTATTCAAATTCATATTCTTTTGTAAAACTTGAGTTTTAACTTGAATTTTAACTTGAGTTTGGGGTTAAAATCTGAGTTTAAGGTCTCGTTCATTTCACCGATTCGAGTTTTGTTACATTAAAAAGTTATCATAAATAGTCACATCTAACTTTTTTATTACAGTAAAAAACTCTTACATAAAGTCACATCTCAATTCGAATTAAAAAGTCGATCCAGCGCACTAAACGGACCCTAAATTTTCCCTTCAACTCAAGTTCATAAACTCAAACTCAAGTTAATAAACAATATTTTTTTCTATTTTTAAAAACGCTATAACTTTTTCATTTTAATTCCGGTTGAGATGATTCTTTTTTTTTATGTGTTCACAACGAAGAGACGAATAAAACTCCACCCATATACTCTATTAAAATTTGTCATCATCATTGAGTTTTTATTAAAATACTATCTAAATACAAACTCAAGTTTTGACTCACTCAAACACAAACTCAAAAAGATTTTCATCTCAAACTATAATTTAAATGTACACAACCAAACACAAACTCAAGTTACAATTTCAACTCAAGTTATAACTCAAATTCAACTCAAGATCGTGTCTCAAACAATTTTGAACAAAAAAATAATATATGTATAGCATAAGCTTTAGTTTTTATTTATATTACCAAGTATTTTCAAGGAATTTATTTTACGACGTTAATCTTAATACAATTTACTATAACGTTGGATCGTAATGATTTATTTCCCTAATTCGGAACGTGTTTTTCTCTAGCATTCCCATTGTTTTTTTTTTTTTTTTTTGGTAACTAATCATATGTATTAATTGGTCCTAAATTATATGAGCAACATGTATCTTTTGTCTCTTTTGCATTTTAGTTGCATCTCGATTTGTATACTACTAGGAGAAATTAGCTCTATAGTTTAAGTTCTTTGTATGCGATTTAATCACAATCCTTAAGAAAATTATAAAGTATCATAAATAGTGAAAGGCTATCAAATAAACAAAATTAATCCTATATACACTTGTTGACACTCACATTCTATGTGATTTTGTGGCGAAAATAATATATTCAAGCTTTTAAAATTCAAATTACTAAGTATGAATTAAGTGGCCTCGTTCGTTTCGCTGATTCGAGTTTAGAATTCGAGTTTTGCTACAGTAAAAAGCTCTCACAAACAATCACATCTAACTTTTTTACTATAGTAAAAAACTCTCACATACAATCACATCTCAACTTAAATTCTAAACTCGAATCATCGAAACGAACGAGACCAATATTATCAGTTTTTTGCCAAAAGAAAAAGGTTAGAAAAAAAAATGATATTATCATTGTTCACGAACATCACATGTAGAATATTGTACCCTTTGAACTCGAGGATAAATTCAAATTTTCCACATAGATAAATAGGTAAAATACAAGAGTCATCTCCATCCACCTCTACGAAGTACGTTTTTTTTTTTTTTTTGGTACTATTCTAGAAAGAATGAAGACATGTTTGTTTTCTTTTTTTTTTAGTGATTAAATAAGAAATGTCGTTTAATATGGGAATTTGGATAAATTCATGTGAGTTGTAATAGACTCCTAGTATAATCATTGACAATAGTAATAATTCTGTAAAAAAACTAGAGTTAAAGTATTATAAATATGAAATATAATACTTTTTTATGAAAAATAATACTTCCTTTTGTACTATTGACAAACTTTCCAAGTCTTTTATTGTTCTCTGCAAACATTTAATAATGAAATAAAAGCCCCTCTCTCTCTCTTTTCTCTCTCTCTCTCTCTCTGAAAATAGCAAGTTAAGCTTCTTCCATGGAGTTTGGGGCACTCTACTAATATCTATTCCATTCTGAGCTCTGTTTTATCTCTTTACTCCGTACCACAATAACACTGTTAATACTATTCACTGCCCAAGTAAGAACCTTTCACTCTCTCTCTCTCTCTCTCTCATACACAAACATCATTTGATAACTTTCGGTTTTTCCTTTTATAGCTACTAAGAAATGAGTAGCTCTCGTAGACAGTGATTCTTGCTTCTAGTTGCTTAACTTATGGGCTTCTTTTCTTTTTTTTTGAACAGTTTCTTGATTGAGTTTGATATATGGGAATAGAATTTTTCCCTTTTTTCTTTCAAGTTTTTGTGCCGTTTTGCTTTTCTGGTTTCTGGGTCTTTTTCTGATGGACTTTTTTTTCTTGCCTTTCATTTGGTTTTGTCAGGAAAATGGCGTTCCTTTCAATTTGAGGCTTCTAAAGGAACAAAAAATTTGTGGGTTTTCTTTCTGTTTTATAGAGGTGGGATCTTTTTAGTGATGATTCTTCAAATGCTGCCCGATATTTAGCTTTATCTCTGTGAGGTTTTTGAGGAGTTAAATCTCTGAACTTGATATTCATTAGGAAAAAAAATCAATATTTTTTGGATAATTTTGAATTGGGTTTCTATATAAGTTCTTAAATTTGGATTCTGTTCCTTGTAATGGAGTCTTGGAGCTGTGTGTCTGAAGGGAAGGGGTTTGTGTCTGAAGAAACAATTTCGCCTTTTAATTCATTTACTAGAAGTAAAAATGCTCTCTTGGGTTGGGAATTGAAAACCTTAACCACCCCATGTACTTTTGGCAACAATATGTACTTGTCAAGCCAACCAGCTATTGAGAATCATCAAGGTTTTGGAGAGTACATAGAAATGGTGGGGAAACAGGTACCCGGCGATTCGGTTTGCGGAGGAAAGATCATTGATCCGACCCCGGAAGTTGTGTTTTCTAGAGAAGATGACTCCACTTCAAAGCTTTCAAGCTCGGTTTTGGACTCAAGCAGCCGGGATTCTTCACTCATTGATTTGAAGTTGGGGCGAATTGGCGACCGCCGAGATGTTCATAATTCCAAATTCTCTAAAGGACTTCCGGGTTTGTCTTCGTCGGAGTCGTCAACACCTCCAAAGAGAATAAGGCTCTCAGGGGTGAATTCCCATACGGCCTTCTGCCAGGTTTATGGCTGTAACAAGGATCTCAGCTCTTCTAAAGACTACCACAAGAGACATAAAGTTTGTGAGCTACATTCAAAAACTGCTAAAGTTATTGTTAATGGTATAGAACAGAGGTTTTGTCAGCAATGTAGCAGGTAGTTTTGATATTCTAGTCTAAAAGTTTTTCCTTATTTTCATTGCTTACTTGCTACTGCGGATATGTTATGGAATGAAGATAAGTGATTTTCAGAACAATTCAAAACCCCAACTTGTGAGAATGTTTTTCTAGTAGTCATACCTTTTTTTTTTTCATGTCTTCTAATATCCTGTGAAAATGAACTGAGGGGTTTTACAATTGTTTTAAATGGATATTAGTATTTTGTTCTTTTAGCTCATAACTTTCTTCAAATAGTGGATTCATCACTTTTTTCTATTTTACCTTTTCTTCACAACCTTGTTCCTTCTTTATCTCTAAAATGCCTTCTTTAACATTTCCTTCCTTGGATTCCTTGTTTAGTCTAATGTCCTATAACATAAAGAATCATTTCTTTACTTGAATGCTGCGTTTAGTACTAGGTCTTTGTTTCACTTGCGTATGATCTTTCAGTATGGTAACCCCCCGTCATGTTCATAAATAAAATCGATTCAGATGTTTTTTAACTTCTGAAACAATAAATGTGTGAAATTGAAGCATAGGCTATTTTGAACTCACTTTCTTTCTTTCTTTTTGCTACATAAGAAATAAAAATTAAAGGACCATATGAGCTGGTACCTGAAAGTTATTGCTTTTATAAGATGTGCAAGCTTTTTGACAATCCAGGTTCCATTTGCTGGCTGAATTTGATGATGGTAAGCGCAGCTGCCGTAAACGCCTTGCTGGACACAATGAGCGTCGGAGAAAGCCTCAAGTTGGCATCCACTCTGGTAGAGCTGGAAGGATGATTCAGTCATATAATGGTATTAAATTAAGATCATCTCTAATTCTAAACTATGTCTTGTAACCTCAATCTCATCCTTAGCTCCCTATCAAATAAGAGATGTTTACATTAAAACATAATAATAAAAAAAATTGACTTTAGTTTAGGTGGTTTCTAAATCTTGTTAAACTAGTATAGCAGCTTTTTGCATCCCGAGAAATACGGAACAAGTGACTGGTGCCGCCGCATAAAAGTTGAAGACGGATCCGATTACAGGCCTCTCTCAACTGTTTCTGCTACAAGTGTGCATCTTCGTTCAAAATTACTCTTCCCTCGTGATGTTGGAAAGGAATTTCCTTCTTTCCATGAAAGTGGAGCAAATCCTGTGACTGCAGGTGTTTTCGGTGACCATTGTAGCCAATATCCACATGTGCTGGGAGGGACAGACTCTGGTTCTCGGGCTTTCTTCCACAACACCATGTTAGGATGTGAAGAATTGAGTAGCTTCAGTACAGCACCAACCATTCAGGGACTTTCAGGGACATCAGACTCTGGTTGTGCTCTCTCTCTTCTGTCATCTCAGTCGCAGAACTCTCAAAACCACCTGTCAGGATTTCCCATGGCCCGTCCCTTGGTCAAGCCGGGTAGCCATACCTGTTATAGCATGAGTCAGGTCTCTGAAAA